CCCCCCCCCCCCAACACACACACACACGCACACACACTAAAGATTGCACGTGGGGTTGGGGAGGGGGTCAAGGAGGGAAGAGATTGGGGAGTTAAGGCTGGAGCGGGGTAAAGATGAGAGTTGCCTTCCAGGAATTGGGAAGCTGGCCTAGGAGGGAGAAGGTGTTCCTACCTTCACGAACAATTCGACCTGCGGTTGTTCTTCAGCCATAGTTGCGACGGGGACCAGGAAGCGGTCGGCGCTGGGGAACTGGGAGGGGCCCGGGCCAGGGAAGGCGGGTCTCACAGGCAGGGATTCTCTACCCCCAGACCTAGGGCTGTCCCTTCGGCGCAGCACAAGCCGGATCAGACCCGCTTACACGAGACGCGACCTCCCCACCAGCCCAACGTACCCCGCACCCCGCTCCTCCAGCTCTATCCCCTCCCGGGCTAGATCGGGGAGCCGCTGACTCACGGGCCGGGCCCGCCCCGCCCTGAACCTGGGGAGGGACTGGAGGGGGAGGGACTCGACGATCTAGGGAGTAGGTCCAGAGGGGAGATCCTCAGGTCTCTTCGAGGATAAGGGATGGGGGTGTTAAAGAGAGGGAATCCTGGGAACCTCCTCGTTTCTCCGCCAGTCTCTTTGAACACAGGATTTTTTTTTCCTGCCTCAGTTTCCCTGCTGCATTAATCAGAGGACACTCGCACTCCTCCCTCACACGAGAAACAACATCAGCAGCTTGGTCAAGCCCATGAGGGTCTAGGGAGGGAATTTTAGAATGTGAAGGTGGTCGTTTATTCCTTTTTCCATATTCCTTCCAGACTCCAGGAGGACAGGGACCTGGAAATGGACACTGAGATTGGGGGAAGAGAGTGGTGAAAGGTAGGGCAGGGGATGGGAAGGGAGACAACCAGGCCTTGTGCTAGGGAAACAAGAAGCTGAGCCAAGGGGCCTGGTCACTGGGGGAGGTCTGCTCCTCCTCAGTAGCCTGGTCAGCTTTAATACTTCCACTTCTGCCCCCATTCTGGGCCCCTTCCTGTGTCCCTTGTCCTTCTCTGACTGATTGATTGAAGATGGAAGAAGCGGGGAAGGGTGGGATTTTTATGGCCACAGAATAGAGCTGCACTGATCCTGGAGGGGATGGTAGCTGGTCCTATTATGGAAGAAAAAAAGCAAAGATCAGATGGAATAATGTAAGTGGAGTCCTTGGGGACACAAATAAGTAGGGAGGCAGAGGAAGAGTAGCTTGATTTTTGAGGTTCTGTCAAACTCTTTATGATCTGCTGAAAAATGGCTTAATAATACATCCTCCAAACTGGATATATTCCAGCCTCCATATCCTGAATCTCCCTCCTACCCTACCATACCTTCTCTTTCTTCCTCACCACTTGCTCACAAGAGACCTACAGTTCCAGAAAAACATGGTGGAGTGCAAGCATATAGGAGCAAAACAGGCCTTGACACTTAAAGAAAGGGAGAGACTTGGGGGAGGACTGGGGCAGAGTGAGAAACATGCTCCTGGAAACTAACAGTTAGTGGTTTCCTCTCCTGCTTCCTTTTCTGTGGGTTTTCTCCTCTCTGGGGGAAGGCCTATCTCTCTCCTCCCTAGAGAGGAGATATATTGTGTTTGCTTCCTTGAATAGTAAGATCCTATAAGGTTGTAGAATGATTCCATGAGTGTGTATGTGTGTGTGTGGGGCGGGGGGGGGGG